AAGTCTACCATTCTTGATCTCCTTTACCTTGAGCTCAGCAAAAGCCTCTGGATCTTCAGCAAGACCCAATGGGTCGAAACTACCACCAGGGTAAAGTGGGTCAACAACCTCACCGAGAGGCCCACCAGCAACACGGTAACCCTCAACAGCTCCCATCAACACAACTTGACAAGCCCAGATGGCCAAGATACTTTGTGCATGGACCAAACTTGGGTTGCCTAAGTAATCAAGTCCACTCTCGCTAAAAATCTGCGATCCAGCCTTGAACCATACAGCCTCGCCAAACTTAACACCGTTACGAGCCAAGAGTTCGGGAAAGACACAACCAAGAGCTCCGAGCATGGCCCATCTGCAGTGGATCACCTCCAACTCACGGTTCTTGGCAAAAGTTTCTGGATCAGCTGAAAGTCCAGCAGTATCCCACCCATAGTCACCAGGAAACTCACCAGTCAAGTAACTTGGGGACTCACCTGAGAACGGACCCAAGTATTTGACACGGTCAGGACCATACCATGGGCTGCCAGAAGAGACAGGCTTGGCCTTGGTAACAGTCTTCCTCATGGTAACTTTCCCATTTCCAATGATTTCAGAGGAAGATGGTGAGAGTCTTACTGCCTTTCCGGCAAAAGAAGAGGAGAGGGCCATTGTAGAAGCAGCCATTTTAGAGTAGAATTGGTAAGTCTTAAAAGCACCTACTGCACAAAAAGAAGAGTTGATTTGAGGCTTGGAGTTTCATGGTCTTTGCACTAAGTGTATATAAAGGATTCTACAGACCCAAAGACCCTATCCTTGAATATCAATATCTACTTATTGATTGGTGGATGATAAGTTGTAACCTTTTGTATTCTTGTCCATTTGGCAAAAAAATCTACACAATTAAACATGACTAAATATTTAGATACATTATGTTTAAAAAATCTAACCCAATGAAGATTTCCTTGCTTATAGCCAATGGAGATTTGCCACGTTTGATTGTGGATTATTGCAGTATAGTATCCCTTGACTAGAGCATAAGATTAACTCATGGCCATGCATTGTTCACACACTTCTGTATATTTGGCTGACTTGTAAAATAGGACCAGTTGTATGAGTGGCAAATTGACAATAAGACCAAACCTTTGAACGTTTGATACTACAAGTACAACATCTTGATCATGTATATGCAATAAATTTTTAATATTTGAAATGAAGCTTTTGGTTAGGGTTCATGGAGAGGTTATGATCACCCATTGCCGGCTCAAAGGCTAGGTAAGTAAGGCATATGGCTTAGACCCCCAATTTTGAGAGGCCTCGATTTTAAAAGAAATAAGTTATGTGTTAATTTTTTTCTTTAAAAAGTTCGAACATTTTATAGTAAAAATTTGTCATTATGGAGTTAATGTGACTGTTGAGGGTTGGAAAAATCCTCTAGGGTAAAGTAAACAAATATTTGTAATTTTTTTAAACTTGATGTAACATTCATTTTGCTTTTTTTACATTCTGACCATTAAAACCTATAAGTATTATTTTAAAATTTTGAGATTGCTAAATGATGAGAATTTGAAGGGAAAATAAAATATTGTATTAACTTTTAATGATCCTTAAAGCATAATAGCTACTCTAATATTGATGGCTTATACTTATATTTTGAAATAAAAGTGTTAAAATACTTAATTGCATAAAAAGATTTGATTCTTTTGCAAATGCCTAACAATTGCCACAACGAAAATAAATTTTTCAAAATAAAAATACCTAAGATCAACAACGTTTCAAGAGTGATTAAATCGGTTAGCTATATTATCAATTGAAAAATAATTACTAAAAAAATTGATTATAAAAAATTTGGGCATCTAATTGTAGTTATGCTTTTGGCCCCCATTATGTCTGGTCGCTCCTGTGATCACCTATAAGCAGAGGCAGAAGTGGCGCACTAGTTATGTGTTCATCCGAACAGTGGCTAAGCCCTCTTAGTCTAAGGTGTTCGCCGAAAAATTATATTGTGTAGTTAGGCCAAAAAAAATAATTTTATATATATAGTATACGCTGAATCTCCTTAGCTTTTTCATATGTTTATTTCTTTTTATTTTCACACCCCTTAATGAAATTTCTGGCTCTGCCACTGCATCTGAGCAATCTAATAATTTTGGCTCAAACTCTGTACATATGTTAACAAATTCACCAAGTACAAATAATAGATTGTAAAATCGAATAGGTTGTTGAATTTCAAACTCGAACCCATAATATTCCGATATTGGATCCGCCTCTACCTAAAAAAAATGTCTAAATTTAATTTGCGTGAGAAAACATATCTATTGGCTCTTCGTGGTGATGCATTTAACTAAAGGAGATTTGGTGGTGGCTTTAAAGATTTACAAAAATGTCGACATTAAATTCAGAAAACTTATAAGTTTCACTTTTCCTGAATATATCTTCTAGAAAAATCATACTGCGAGCTTTCAAGACAATTTGCAATCGTCAAAGCCACATATTTTGGTTGGACCCCAGTAGTAAATATCTTGGAAGAACAAATGGTAATGGAATCTTGAAACCCAATGAAATTGTAGATAGAGATATCATAAGATAAGAACTCTTTCACTCACTTCCTATATAAATATTTAAGCCCAACGGACTACATCACCACAGCTAACATCTCTATTACTTCAGCCATAATAAAAAACACTTACTTCTCCTTGCTAAACAATGGCTGCTTCTACAATGGCTCTCTCTTCCCCTTCTTTTGCCGGAAAGGCGGTGAAGCTCTCACCATCTTCCTCTGAAATCACTGGAAATGGAAAAGTCACCATGAGGAAGACTGCTAGCAAGGCCAAGCCGGTCTCTTCTGGAAGCCCATGGTACGGTCCTGACCGTGTCAAATACTTGGGCCCATTCTCTGGTGAGTCTCCAAGCTATTTGACCGGTGAGTTCCCCGGTGACTATGGATGGGACACTGCTGGACTTTCAGCTGATCCAGAAACTTTTGCCAAGAACCGTGAGTTGGAGGTGATCCACTGCAGATGGGCCATGCTAGGAGCTCTTGGTTGTGTCTTCCCCGAGCTCTTGGCACGTAATGGTGTCAAGTTCGGTGAGGCTGTATGGTTCAAGGCTGGATCCCAAATTTTCAGTGAGGGTGGACTTGACTACTTGGGTAACCCAAGTTTGGTCCATGCACAAAGCATATTGGCCATTTGGGCTTGCCAAGTTGTATTGATGGGAGCCGTTGAGGGTTACCGTGTTGCTGGTGGACCTCTCGGTGAAGTTGTTGACCCACTTTACCCCGGTGGAAGTTTCGACCCATTGGGCCTTGCTGAAGATCCAGAGGCTTTTGCTGAGCTCAAGGTAAAGGAGATCAAGAATGGTAGACTT